GGCGGGGCTTCAGTCACATGGTTTTGGCCACCATCTTGACTTTTTTGGCCCACTCCCTACCAGCAGCCCTGTACTAACTCTGCTTGCGTCGTAACAGATCTCACACAGTCTTACAAGGGAAATGACTACTCAGAGGAGCTGCTAAGGTGCTTTGCATGCAGTCTCCATATCAGATGTCATGTCCCTAGCCTGGTGTCTTCTAGATGCGTTGCAACCATTCACAATCAGAGAGGTCTGCAGCAAGCTGGAATTTTGTGAAAATCACTAAAGGCACATTGCGATGTCACAATGCAAACTCCATTCTTTACATACTTGCATGTGATGTCATGACCCAAGTAAAAAGGAGTGGAGGTGGCACTCCTGAGGTTGCAACACACTTTTTGTGGCTTGCCCCTGCACCTTTCCTGTGGACTCCGGTACCCAAAATCCCCCAGCTAGCATGGCCAACGGCAATGTGAGGAATTAGCGGAGTGGATGATTAAAAAAAATACAGAAGTTACGAAGGAAATTAAATGTGCCATGTTCCAGTTTGAACATGGCTAAAAAGATCGTTTCAATTTGGTGGAAATTTTAATTGGTTCCACCTCGTCTAAAATCCTGGTTCGATGTGTATTCACTCCCTAGCTACGAGTCCATCTGTTCTCCTGAAATTGCTGAGTAAAGCGGTAAAAGGGATGGTGGTACAGGTTAACCTATCCTCCATGCTGGTGACCTCTCAATGTGTCAATGCACATAATTTAAATTAAAATCAATGATATTCAGGTCGTAGATTCAGGGCACGAGAACTAGCCTCTAGCTGATTTTATTTTAGATGTCCGAAGCCTCTTGCAGTTCAGCGGCATGTGGGAATATGTCTCCCACTGTCCATTGCCATTACCATCAGGATAATATTGCTGGTTCATGGGTTCTGATGATCCTTGTCCATGACTGTATTGCTCACTATAATATTCCTCCTGACCCATGTACTGCTGAGAGGAACCTGAAAGACACAAAAAATATTAGCAGCAATAGCAGCATTGAAAATTCCTACATTTGGGTTGGTACTGAAAAGAGGTTCTTATGACTCTAGCCCTAGCATATTTTTAGAGACACCTGAAGAGTAAGTCAGATGACGGAACCTTGTGAGAAATTTGGAATGAAGAGTTGGAGTATCCTGTGGTAACAAAGATGGGTTATTGTTTTTAAAAACGTTAAATATATGACTTGGGATCTTTAGATGAGATTACAAAATATTATTTTTCAAGTTTATCGGACATCCAGAAGGATGCTTAGTAAGGGCTGGGTATCAGATTCAATAAGTTGGAAGTATAAAATAAGCCAGGGAAATATGAAGTGACTCATGATCCAATCTTGTTCTACAGTTGTCCCATTTTGGTCTAAGATTGTTGAGTTTGTTGACATGGTATTGGGGTGTCGAGTGATATGGCAAATTCAGTCTATGTATGAATAACTTTGAGCATGAAACTGAGCAAACTCAGGGAGGCAGTGAAGGACAGGAAGGCCTGGCGCAATATGGTTCATGGGGTCACGAAGAGTCGGACACGACTTAACGACTAAACAACAACAATGAATAACTTGGGTTCTTAATGCAGTAGATTTGTTTTACATTGTTTGTGGAGCAGAGTTTCACTGGAAAGGTGGGTGGCCGTATAAATTTCATTAATAAATATATAAACAAACTGGATTTATCATGCATTCATAATCACTCAGCTGGCACGGCCAATAGCAATCTGGGAGATTAAAAAATACAGAAATGTTGAGGGGAATTAAATGAAGCGCCATCAAAATCAAATATATTCATGTTATGGCTTGACCATAGCTAAAAATATCATTTTCTAGTCTGTTAGAAATTTTAAGTACTTCCACCTGATTTAAAATCCTGGTTTGAAATGTATTCATTCCTTAGCAACAAGTCCAGTCATATAATGATATACAGTAAATTAACCTAACCTCTTCCATGCTGGTGACCTCTAAGTGTGTCAGTGCAATTTTGATGGCCCTAATTTGCATGGCTATACAATGCTGGTTGGAGACAAAGGTTTAGGGCACTGTTCTCCAATACAGTGGCCTTAATCTGAATGTCACCTCTCTGCAGTAGCAAGTGTAGTAAGCAAGCAAATACAGGTAGTCCTCATTTAGCAACCATTTGTTTAGTGACCGAAGTTACGATGGCATTGGAAAAAATTACTTACAACCAGTCCTCGCACTTAAGACCTGTCGTCGCACTTACGACCATTGCAGCATTCCTGTGGTCACATGATCACGATTTGGACACTTGGCAACCATTGTGCATTTATAACAGTTGCAGTCATGTAATCACCATTTGCAACCTTCCCAGTTGGCTTGCGACAAGCAAAGTCAATGGGGAAGGTGACAGGAGGTCGCAAGTCATGGTCACATGATGTCTTGTGTAACGACTGCAGGTGATTTGCTTAACAACTGCAACTGAGGCTGCAGTCGCTAAGCAGGGCAGTCACGTGATGTTTTGCTTGACCATTTCGCTTAGCGACAGAGTTGCTGATCTCAATTAGGGTTGTTAAGTGAGGACTATCTGTAAATAAATAAACAATTTTTTAAAAAAGCACACACAAGACTTCTTAGCAGAAATTCATCCAACCTAGTTGAAGTTTGAAAGAGACCTGTGTTGCATTGTACAAGTCCTTACCGTCAAGCTTTTGGGCAGTGGCTTGAACCAAAAGCGATTCTTTTTCAAGTATGATTTTCAGAGTGCTCTTTAGCAAGATTTATTGAGATAAAAGGGGTGGGGTTACATGAATTCTGCCAACTGAACCAATTAATACATTAGAACAGTGTTTCTCAACCTTGTGAACTTTAAGATGTGTGGACTTCAACTCCCAGAATTCCCCAGCCAGCCATGGCTAGCTGGGGAATTCTGGGAGTTG